AGCTCCTGTGTGTCCATGAGGTGTACTGCCCCTCACCCACTCCTTCTCTCTCACTCTCTCACACACCCACACACAGTCTCACACACACACAAACACACACAGTCTCACACACACAAACACACACATACACACACACACACTCCCTGTAAACACAGCCTTTCGTCCAGCACTCAGTGAACCGCAGCTGCAGTCTGGACAATAGGTAATAATGTGCAGGATTTGTGCGGAGCGACTTCACCCAGGGCTTCACTGGCATTCGTGCGACAGACGCAGCAGGTCGGTCGGTGGCGGGCTCATGTCCGGGCATATATTACGCCGCCCCATGGGATCTGTTCGGCCCGGCTGTGGCCCTGGCCTAGCAGTAACGGCGAGAGGGGGCTGCTGCTCGCATTCTCGGGTCCCTCAGCTGGCCACGCTCGGCCAGTTGCCTACCGTGACTAGGGAATGCGGCGCCCTGATTAGTGAGGTGAGGGGGTCCTTGGCTGGGGCCGGTTGCCTCGCTGGCTGGCCCCCGCTATTGTGGGGAGTGAATAAGGCCCCCGGTGGGGGAGGGAGGGAGGGAGTCCTTGAGGGCCCTCATCTGCAATAAAGCCTCCGGACTTTAATGAAGGAGGACAGGCCTATGTCACCTTTCAGTTTGTGTGTGAGACACACACACACACACACACACACACACATGCCACTTTCAACACCACAGAGACCTCACCACTCACAAAGAAGGGAAGCTGTTCTCCTGTCAGATTGACAGGATCCACACAATACTCTTCCTCCCTCTCTCTGTCTCAGGGTCTTACCCCCCTCTCTCCCTTTCTTTCCTTCCATCTCTTTTAGGGGATCTGTCAACTTGTGAGCCCGAATTGAGCAAAAAAAAAGAAGAAAAAAAAGGGGGAAACACAACTGCACAGCTGTTTGAGCGTCTCCCCTCTGCTCTGCAAATTGGACTGATCTCAGGCTCTGGCTGCAATGGGAACAAGACCCAGAGCAGCTGGACCGGGAGGCGATTCTGAGCATTTGGACGGCTGTCTTCACATGTAGATCACGGGCCCTGATAAGGCAGTAAGAAGAACAAATGGCTGAACCGGTAAAAAAAAAAAAAAATCAATGCATGTGAAACTGCAACAGGTTTCATTTACAAGCAGGGCTGGGTGAGGCATGTGGAGGGGAGCCATTGGGCGAAAGCATCAGCGACTCCTGCTAACAAGGGGGGGTTCATCTGTCATGGGCCCCATCTGGATTAATAGATTGGGGACCCCTTGGGGCCTTGCTTTGGACCCTCATTAATATTTCACTCCCTCTGTGTGCCTCTCCGTCTGGTGCCAGGGATCGAAAAGGACAAGCTGGCTCATTTTGACTCCTGCCTTCCTTCCACAGACAGGAGTCCTGGAGCTTGTTGTCGAGCGTCTCCCTGGCAGTGGCTCCGTGGCAACAGTTTGTCTGAGGTGAATGGGCTGCATTGCCGGTTCCTGGTCTGTGCTTTAGCATCTGCATGTCAAAAATGGAGGATCATGAGCGACCACAGCTGACAGTTCAACAGCCTAGGGCCACAGCAACGCCCTCATGCTGAACCAAGCCTAATGAATAGCTCTTTGGTTAGCTACGCAAACAGAGGCCTACTTACACTCTGTTCACTTGACTGCAAATGAGTCAGCTTCACCCATTTGCGAAAATATTCCTCTTAATGGAAAATGCACACCTGTCAATGCTGAGAGCAGAAAATAGTCAACAATCATTGCGTTCATTCCATGTGGAGTAACATACAGTATCTGGGTTAATCTAACTTCATTTGATTTTCTTGAGCCCATGACAGTCTCCCCTACAATAAACGCAAAGACATTCTGAGGCAAATTCGAGGCACAAGCTGTAAGTTTATGGTGAAAAAAGTTAGCTGTGCCGATAATAGAATAACATTGGCAATTTGCTGGGAGCACCTTCAGTGCACACTCAGCTTGCTTTCAGTAAGCATGGGAATTAAGCCGCCACAAAATTAAAATGGATGACTAGTTACAAGAGATCAACTTTGTAAAAAAGGCGAACGTTAGCAGTTCTGTAAACGCATCTGATGGGAAATGAAGCCGAGGCCACTGGTGACTGACAGCGGCTGCCTCCGCGAAGTGGAAAAAATGAACTTTGATGTTAAGACGGGTTAATCTGCAGCTATTGATCAGGAGGTACTAAAACTTTTGAGAGAAGGGGGCAGGAACTGTGATTCGCGAATGTACTCAGAGAGCTGTGTGCGTTACTGAGAGACTGCTACGGCTGCCCACGGCTCCTCACCTTTCAAAACAAAGGGGCTTTTACAGGCGACCTGTGATTGGGTTCCTGTGCCAGTGTGCTCTCAGTCTGCTCCCCCTCTCAAGGGCACAGATTCATTCAGACAAGAAACTCAAATGCATTTAATCTCCCAATCAAGCCTGCCGCAAAGACGAATGGCACACACGTTTTCCTAGAATTTGTTTTTTTTTTTTTTTTTTACAAAAAACAAAATAAATACTCAGAGGAGGAAAAAAAAACAATATTCCTGTATCATGATGGTTATTTTCAACAACTGAGAGCTCAGAGACGAACTCACCCTCCACAGAGACCCTCACTGCTTGGGTGATACCACACCCTCTTTTGGTGCCAGCCATTCAATACCAGACTGCAGGGTGAGTCACTACACTAATATCAAAGCTTTAACAGGAAGTGCCATTAAATGACCTCAATCTCAATTTTTAATGGCACACTTGCTTTACCCAGAGTCTTTTAAGGGATGTCAGTTAACTTGAGGGCTTGGATAGGTGTTCGCACATTATGCAGATCCTTTTCAGAAAAATTAATATACAGGTGAAAATTTCAGGCACCGAAAATCTATCACCTCACATTTTTTATGTGGTGTCAAAGCCATCTCTTTAATGTGTTAATTTTCTGTCAGACGACTTTTGGATCCTTGAGCAAAAGTCACTTTTATGCCTGTCACATGGTGCACTGCACTCAGCCAGAGTAAGCCACACTGACAGAGATGCCAGTAGACTGTTTATCAGTGTCAGAGCATCGCTTATAAATTACAGAAAAAGCTGACCGATCTGCTGACCTTAAAGATCAGTTTCAGCCAAGGGAGTCAATCCTTAATGCTGAGGACACTGAGCGTGGAGCTTGAAGCCTGATAAACAGCACTACAACTGTGGCAGCTACAGTAACCATCCAAGACATAACATCAGGTCATTCTCTGGTCTGGACTTTGCTACACCCACACATGCTACACCCTTAATCCGAGCCAAGAACACTAACCGAAGAGAGTTTAGGAATGATGCAAAAAAAAGTTGGATAGCACTCAACAGGAAATAAGAAATATAAGTAGAGGTGGGATAAATTGGCTTTTAAAGAGAGGGTACCAGAGGCTTGCATACTATAAACTATGTTTAATGTTTAGGCCATGGTCGTGCTGTGTGTATGCGGGCCTCACTTTGCCCTCTCCACATTATGGAGGTTGCATCTGAGCTCTGGCTAATCAGATGAGCGAGACTAAGATCAGTGTGTCCCTGATAATAAAGGACACCAGCATTAGGCCAGAAAAGACGTCACGTCTCACCCTCTGGGATGCATAATGTTCAGACGTTGAAAGTGACCACGGTACACCTTAATAAAATTAAAAAAACCTTGTTTGCTTGGAAAAAAAGGCATCCAAAAGAGGAAAAATCCCCCACTGCACAAAACTCAGCTGCTGTATAACACATTCAAACATGTTTCCATGCTGCACAGATCTCTGATATGCTTTAAGATTTTTTAAAACATGTCCCGAGTGTGGACAGGAAAGGAAGGAGGCATTCTGTTTTAATAGCAGTGCATAACGGTCAGCTTCATAGGTATACATAGGTATAAGGCAGTATACACGGCCACAGATCTTTCCTCAGTAATCAAATGTTTAATGAGATTTCCAACATGAACTCAATCATTTATCCCTTTTGACACGGTAGCATCATGCAAAGATGCTAAAACCGCTGTTCAGCCAAAACTCTCCTGTATCCCAAGGTTTCATGCTGAAAATTCTGCTCTGTTTGCTGGTAATGCATCTAATCTCTGTGTGATATTAAACAAGGCGTACATTCATCCCCCCCCCCCCCAACCCCCCCCCCCCCCCCCCCCCACAACTGAAATGTCAACGGCTGCAACTCAGCGGGCGACACATCAGATGGTGAATAATTCACATCTCTCCCGATGCGACTTCCTTCATCAAATATTGAAGAGGTGCGCTGGAGGAATGGCGGGGCCCGGGGAAGCAGCAGCGGGGCACTTTAGACAATAACAATATTGATAGTGGGAGTAGCAAAGCAGAATTAAAAATCTGTGGATCCCAACGATCTTCCTCCGGCGCAGCTGCCGTTCTGAAGGAGTTCTGGCATTGCCGCTGGGAGAGGCCCCGCCCGGCCGCCTCCCCTCGTTATTACATTAGAGCCCCCTGACCCTCTTCTGGGACGCCGCGGGGTCGGAGGTCGCGACCCTCGGTAATGGCCGTGCGTGAGGGATCGAAATAGCCCGGGCTGGGGGCATCGTTTCAATTACATTATCAATGTTGCAGGGTGATCAATACGTGGGTTGCAAACACTGACAGATGGCAGGAAAGTTAAAGCAGAAATCCAAAAACTACAACGCCATACTAAACAGAACCAAACAATACTGATCAATAACTCCCGACAATAATATTGATAATCCAATCAATATCCCTCAACCTGACTTCAGCGAAGGAGAAGCTGCTAATAAGATAGTGAATGGGTTTTTGTGCATCGGATATATTAACTCCTAAGTATTAAATCCAACCTCATAAATACATTTGGGTTAAAGTACATGCGGAGCACAAGGCAGGCCTCTATTATTGTGCAATTACACAAAATTGGGGCTGCACACTCTGTGAATTACATTACATTTTATAGCTTAGGCATTCCGTAGACACTGTCCATTTATATGACTGGGCATTCACAGAAGCCATTTTGGGTGGGGGTACAAGAGAAACGGTGCAGGGACAGCGCCCTTGAATGGGATCTAACCCTCAACCTCTAAGTTACGAGACCAGCCTCCTAACCACTAGACTACACTCCCTCCCTGTTCAGATATGACTGGGATGCTATGTAAGTTTCCTGAGCTCCTGGCTCTTACATATGCTAATGCAGCTTATCCCTGACCTCAGCATCCACAACATCATTATCAAATGGCTTTGACATAATGTCGCGCTGTCAAACCTATGATCTATTGCAGCGGTGCTCATTTCCCCCTCATAATGAAGTCATAACGGAGGCTTAAACTCGGAGGGCTGGTTAAGACACAGCGAACCGTGGTGTACTGTCTCTGGGGTTAATGCAAGCACACATCCATCACGTCCCCTCGCTAATCAATCAATCAGGAGTGACAGGACGCGGGAACGTCATAATTCATCAGGGGACGTGCGTCGCCCTCATTATCCTCATTATCCTTTTTAGTGTGTGGTGAGCGAACGCCACAATCGCCGTTTAACCCTGAATCAAGAAAACCCCGGGCTGTCCAAATAATTATGTCTGGAACATCTACATTTCACTCCTATAAATAAACACATGCATACCGGACAAATATGTGGTATTATTCCTGAAAACCTAAGGAAAATGACATGAGTTCACATAAATTTACTTAGAAACACTGTCAATACTTTTTTAAAAAGTACTGAGATCACTGCAACAAGCTCATGGATAAAGGTTTTTGTATGTGAAACAACTACATGTCAGCCTCAACCTTTAAAACAGCAGCCTCAAAACAATGTTGCATTAAAGATTAGGTGAGACATTTTTGCTGTCTTTTACCAACCTCCTGTGCTCACACCCAACAAAGCGCTGAGTTGTTTCAGCTAAGCCCTTGGGATTTGGCTGCTGTAACCTTAGAGGGGTTTTAGCCATGAGAGCATGGAGCAATCAGATAGTTTCACAATACCTTCAACAAAGACCTCATAAAGATGACATGCCGTGTGAAGCTAAGCTACCAGGCTGTCATCATTCCACCAAGCAATGTTTTCCTGTCACTATTTTTTTCCCCTTATGAATTATCTTCAAAAAGAAGGTGTTGCCAAAAATGTATCATTCTGTAATCTGCTCTAATCCTTTGACGCCCCCCACCCCAAAAAACCCCCCACTCTTGCCACTGTAGGAATTCTGTGGGAGTGGAAAATCCAAAAAAAAAAAAACAGTTATATTTTCTGTTTATAGATGCAAAACGTTAATGAAGTATGCATTCCAATCAAAGCCATACTCCTGCTAACCTCATGCACTAAGATTCAACTCTGAAACTCTGGTGAACTCCATCAATCTACTGTGATGGCGAGGAGAAAGTGCATGTTTTTGGGGGGGGGGGGGTGTCAGCTACAGGGAAGTATGCAGTAGTCAGTTGTCCACATTCAACTTTTAAAGGGAACGCAGGCCGGCGAGATGTAAATGATAACAGACACCGCCATTTTCAGGGATCCATGTCCATGCGTGGTTAACTGCCAATCTCTTTCAGCAGGAGGGCTCTGATCCACATCACTGAAGCAATCACTGGGGCCATGGATCATGACTCAATGTGCAGACTCTTACGGTCAACTGACAGTCAAATTCAAATCAATCATGGGACTATTTTTCAATTACTTCAGTAATGTGCTTTTCCTCATTATCAAATAAAATAGAATGAATTTAAAGATGAAATTAAACATACAAGTTATGTTACAATTATAATGAGGCATTAACTAATTATACTAAGTCCGTGAACAGCCCCAACAAGCACTGGCCAGCCACAGGAGTGGGAACTCAAAACTGGACCCACCAATCCTGCTGCATCTCTCATACTATTTAGGAAACGACGGCCCAATCGCAGCAGCAGAACCTGAAGGACCACCACCCAATGTTTATTTAGTCACTTATAGATTTACATCATTTTCAATTACAGCTACAGAGCACAGCTCCGCAGCAGCTCCAGGTAATTTAATTAGGCTGGTAATCGATCCCAGAAACAACCCTAGAAGAAAATCATATTTGAGACCACTAGTTAAATAAATCAGTCCAGTCAATGCGTTCTCACTCACCATGAGATTTAACCCTACTAGACAGTCTCGCTTTTTGTTTTACGTTATCGGATATGAAATCATTCTGGACAAAGTTCCTACGGACATTCATGTTTTAAATCGATAACAAAAAGAAAAAGGGACACGACTGAAAACGTTTCGGTTTTAGTCATCCGTTTAACAGCACATCGTAGATGTGCATTAGATTATAGCAACGTGCATGCATGATCATGTTTTACATTGTAATGTGTTTACTCATGGATTCCCCCCATCTGTGAGTGCTTATGTGTATGGGGCTTGCTTAGTAAAGCTGAGTACACCTGCCACAGAGACGACACATCCTGCTGTAACATCATGCGTCATTCGTCAGGTTAAAAAACACTCAGGGCCAGATTTATTAAAGGATTGCGACTGCTTTTCAGGAGTAAAAGCAGCTGCTAAAAACGTTGTGGTATTTAAGTGTGAATTACTAAACAATCACAACGGGTGAAAATCGCTATAAATATGGAATTTGCGGCAACTACATCGCTTTTGGACTCGATTCACAGTAAAATTTGCTCATGCATATGTAAACCCGGAGTGAAGGAGCTAAAACAGGTTGGTTATAGATTTTGCTAATGAGGCTAATCCACTAAACCTTGCGGTAACTGTGACCCTCCCCTTTGCATGGGAATTTTTACGACTTCTGAAAGCAGGCAGAAATACTACCCTGATATAGATTATGGTTTTCACTCGATAAAAGGCATATTGATAAGTTGCTCGCTCTCCCACATATAGAGCCAGGAGAATATAGAACATACAGGAGGTAAACGCAGAGCAGATTAAGAAAAGAGATGGTCTTCCGTCAGATGCAGAGCTATGTGTAATACAAACAGCCACAGAAATGAGACCTCCAACCTCTCTGCAGGGGGGCAAGGAAACAAGGGATTTGGTGGGCATCCTATAATTACCACACAGGTAATATCTCCTGGAATAATGGAACTCCTGCTAGCACAGCATACCTTACAGGTGCTCATCTACCAGGCACAAACACATACGAGAGCCTGAAGATACTTCTTGACATTTAAAAAAGATAGAAGGCTGGATAGAAGAGACCGCATATGCCACCATGAAGTCAGTCTCTGAGTTATTCAAGCACCAAGACTTACAATCCAATCTATAAAGAAAAAAACAGACTCCCTCAAAGGCTTAATACATAGCCAAAAGGCACCAGTGTTTTTTTTTTTTATTCTGGAAGTCAATGAAGTTTTTATCTTCTTTCAATATTGTCTCCCAGGGAGTTGCACAGTCTCTTGCTATTCTGTGAGTTCTGTACCTAGACAGACTGTATATTTCTGACCCAAAATGAATTCTATGACATAAAAGGCTAGATCTGACCAAATGCTCTTAGTCTCTTTAAGGGCGTATGTGATTTCATTCAAACAAGACCTACCCTCCGTATTTAATATTTAATTGGACACAATCAAACATTTTCTTTGGCATTTGTTCTCGTCAAGCTAAAAGAGAAAAACGTATGCCCTTAAATAAAAGTCAATTTTGACTGAATTTACCCCGAAGATTAAGGCCATGAAAAAATCAAAACCTGACCCTAAATTTGACTTAGTTTACTGATTAAAAGCATTTTTCTCTACAAGAACATTTTGGTGAGTTCATTTTGATTATAAATCATTTCTTCAAACTGTTGAAATGAAGATAAAAATGATGTTGACTGAATTCCAGCCTTACTGTTTTAGAGAATGTAATCCAAGAATAATGGCCACATGCGCACCTCATGTCAAGAAATGTCCTTAATTAACCATTAATCTTGTCTAATCACCAAGTCTAAACCATAAGCACTTAAACAGGAGAATGAATGTGTCCTGGATTTTTCACTGCAGTGTTGATTTGGTTCAGGCATTGCTTTGCTGTTGGTCGATATCTGGACGGGAAGGCATATCGACATAACTAATGTATGAAAAGCAAATGCAGACATTTGGAGTTGTCTCAGTGTAACATTGTGAACTGATGTGGAAAACTTCCGAAATAAAGACAAGTTGTCAATACCAACCAAACAAGCATGTGCCAAACAATAGCTGTGCTACGGTTTAAGAAAATGAAAATACATACACACATACACATACATACAAGCGCGCACACACAAATACATACAAGCCCACACACACGCACACACACACAGACACACACACAAATACATGCGTACAGGCGCACACACCCACACACACAAATACATGCGTACAAGCGCACACACCCACACACATACCCACATTTTTTGAGTTAGAATGCTGAAAATATTGAGTAGGGACAGCCTAACGGTTAGTATAATTGACAGGACTGAGGATAACTCCATGGGCCCTGCAAATTGGATTGGAGCTGCCAAAGGTTTACTGAGAATGCAGAATGCATCATCTGAACAGCCAAGTTTCCCTTCAGAAATTCAGAAGTGACTGATGAGACTTCCAAGGTAATAGTTTCCATTTCATGCTTTAAAGTCATGAATTTGGGAGGCTGGCCAGCAACTGATAAATCATCGTTCAGTTAAATTAAAGGCCATTATCGACTTAAAACAGGCCCGCTTTCCCATTTTTGTGACTAAAAACGAAGGACTTTGGTATGAACTCAAGGCACCAAACGTTGGGCCTCCGAGTGCTATGACCACACAGACTGCTTGATGACACATTCTTGATGTAGTTAACAGTATTCTTGATTACACAATAAAATGTACATGCACGTATATGAACAAACAAACAAACAAACACACACACACCCACACACACAAGCACATGCATGCACAAATAGGTACGCACATGCTTGCAGACACACTTACAAAAACATAACACATGCATGCATGCAAACATGCACACATTCACACCTGATGGCAGTTTTGGAGCCCCTCCTCAATCACCCCAGGTCATATTTATCTGGCGTCACCACTGGTTTTGTCAGAATCCAAAATGGAAACTACAATGTCTTTTTACAAAGGCTTACTGCAGTTATATATGACTCCTTGTAAATGAAGTGTGAGTGCACACCTTGAATTTAA